GTGATGGGATTCACCCCTTGTTTCTGAAGGAATGCGCAGTAGAGCTCACGATACCTTTACATACTATTTTTAATAGATCATTATCTGAAGGTATATTTCCGAAACGTTGGAAGGATGCAATAATTATACCATTACATAAATCAGGCGATAAAAGTAATGTCTGCAACTACAGACCTATTAGTATTCTTCCAGTTTTAGGTAAAGTTTTTGAATCGTTAATTTGTACTTATTTGACTTGGCATATAAAACATATTATAGCTGATCAACAACACGGATTTTTTTTAAAAAACGCTCTACTACATCCAATCTTATTACATTTGTTGACAGAACACTAACTAGAATGAGCTCAGGGAATGAAGTACATTGTATTTATAATGACTTTAATAAAGCGTTTGACACAGTAAATCATTCAGTTCTAATCAACAAACTACACACATTATTTGGCATACATGGATGCTTATTAAATTGGTTTGATTCATATCTCACAGATCGAACACAAAGAGTAGTCATTAGCGGTTTTATTTCTAGAGAAATTATCCCAACGTCTGGAGTTCCACAAGGCTCTCACCTTGGCCCATTACTTTTTATTATGTTTATCGATGATATTAAGCACTGTATCCGTAACTCCGAATTTGAATTATACGCAGATGACCTAAAGATACCCAAAATTGTGAATAATAACACAGACCAAATTCAACCTCAAGAGGATATAGACAGAATTACAGAATGGTGCCGGAAAAATAAAATGTCTCTCAATACAAATAAATGCTATCACATTAAATTCTCTCGAAAATTTAACAAATATAATAGTAGTTACAATATGAATGGTTTAGATTTAGCGAAAGTAGATGAAGTGAAGAACTTAGGCATTGCTATTGACTCTCAGATGCGATTCACTAACCACATTAACAATACCATACACAAATCATTAAGAATGTTTGCTTTTATTTTCAGAAACACCAAAGTTTTTAAGTCAGTTTTAGCGTTAAAAGCTCTCTATTTTGCACTGGTTTGCAGTCATGTTTATTATTGTTCAGTCGTATGGTACCCGTCTTATCAAAATAATATTCACCGTATAGAAAGAAACCAAAAAAGATTTTTAAATAACATATCTTATGTAAGTGGCGTTCATCGTACAATTCGCAGATACTCTGAAAGATTAGCGCATTTCGAAATTTTATCATTGGAGCAGCGAAAGAAATAGCTATCTATAAGCCTTTTACATAAACTACTTAATAATAAAGTGGATTGTCCATTCCTCCTATCACAAATTAACTTGAAGGTGCCCAGAGTTTCAGCAAGGTTGTGTAATTTTAGTCCCTTTAGTGTAAATTTCAATAGCAAAAATTATGGTAACAACTCTCCTCTATGTTCTATGATGAGAAAGTACAATGATAGGTTTTGGCGGGAACTTGACCGGCGACGGATCGCTGCTCCTGTATTATTATTTAAATAATGGTTTGAAGTGGATTTTGATATGTAAAAGTGGTGCGATTTTTTGTATTAAATGTCTACGCATGTGAACTATTAGTGGAAACGGTGAAACAAGTGCTCTGATGGTGATGTGAATCTCAAGATAAGGTGTCTGTCTGCATAGGCGCCTTGAGATACCATCGTCAACTGTCAGCTGTCTGCTGGCTCAAGTTGCCGTCAAAATCTCCGAAGGGCTGCACAATGTGACGCATCAACATATTGTGGAGCAGTGTACTATTAAGGATAAATAATTATACATTGTAACTTCAGAAGGGCTAGAACTCAGAGCCGTAAAGCCAGTTATTAAGAAAGAAGAAGAAGTACAATGATATATTCGGTAAATGTAATATAGATCTCTTTAGTGATAGTCAGGGTTCCTTAAAAAAGAAAATATTGCTATTGTTACGGCCCGCAGCTGCCCTTGCAAAGGTCGCCTTGGCTGGGGCCCATAGTAGTCTCCTCAACGAGCAGACGCGGGTCGGGCCCAAATGGCCATATGGAAAAATGTCCTATCGTACTAAACTGTAGGGAGAAGGCTAGAAAAATATAGTACGTACCTGTATCCGAATCTAAGACCGCCCCAAGGCTCGATCAGGCCGTAGGTGGGTGTAAGGTGCAGGGAAAGTAGTGTTTAGTGATGTGTATATGTCTGAGACCTGGCCCAGCTGAGGTGACCGGCAGCTGCCGATTTCTATGCTGCCCCACAATGCTGCATCACCCCAGCAGGCTTCCCCGCTGGATCATTTCTTTCTTCATATCACTATTTCAGTCTATTAACTTCATTGTACATTTAACTAACTTAAACTCGCCTAATTCCACATTCATCGTAGAATCGAACACGTGATACCCGACACAGTAACGGACAGTAGTTCAAAGTTCAACATTTAATGTCCCGGATTCATTTATCACCAAAAATTATAAATAGGGAACTAACGCGATCTCTTCATGAGTCACACGGTTCGGCGTCAAACACAACTAAGTTCCTTCGTTCGATACTAAATACTACGCCGCGATAAGAATTCAAAATCCGCCTCATTGACACGTAAAACGAACAAATTAAATATTACAAAATGCACGCATTCACTATCTAATTTGCACAATTACTTTCAAAGAAGTTACTTTAATTAGTCAAACACAATACAAGCCTCTTGTCAAGAACTTAAACCCTAGACAACCTAAAACGAGGCGGTTTTCACGAAACACAATTACGTAGCGAAGTCACGCGCACAAATATCTAACAATCTAGACCACATCCCGGTCGCGCGAAACTTCTGCAGCGATAACCGAGATACGCGGATTATCCGCACCGCTGCCAGCGAGCTACTTCTCACTCACGAGGCCGAACGCCGGGGAGTGGCATACCGCTGCCCCCGCACGTCACCTCACACCATCGGGCGATGCGCTCAGCCAAACGTGATTGGATGGCGTTTCAAATGACCATTTTTGGCCTAAACATCTATACTACACTCAAACTGAAAATTAAAACTTTAAATTATACAATGTTAAGCTCTCTACCAAATTATAATTTTACCTGTATTGCATAGAATAGTCTTTGTGTTTATATCATATTTTATTATCTGTTAATTTCATAACTAATTTTAAGTTTCATGTTGAAATGTTGTGCATACCTTTAAAAGGCTTATTACATTACACGATTTCTCGGGCCCTGCCCGCAGGGACAGGGTAGTGTAATAAGAAACAGGGAGTCAGGGTCCCACAAAGGCTTATTACATTACACGATTTCTCGGGCCCTGCCCGCAGGGACAGGGTAGTGTAATAAGAGACAGGGAGTCAGGGTCCCTAAACAGGGCGACCGAGTAGTTCCGACCGTCCTGCTTCTCTGCCGCGCTGTGGATCGTGTAGTGTAATAAGAGACAGGGAGGCAGGGAGCTCAGTTGCGTGGCCGCATGCGCAGAGTCTACACGTTTGTTTATTTAAAGTTCTACTATGTCGATCTACTCTCTAAATCATTACTCGTATTTATGTCATGCGCTAAAGAAAAAGATCCTTCTCAATGTCATCGACATCTACAAAGAAATGCCTTATCAAATCTTGATAGGAGTTTCCAGTGGCCAAAATCGTAGTGACAACCAATCTCTCTTAAAAAAGTATTCTTTTGAATAAAACTTCTTTTACGGATTTTATCGCGTTTAATTTTTTTTTATTAATTCCCGACGTTTCGGGTGCTTTACCACCCATGGTCACGGGGGAATGGTTGCTGTAAAGCATCCGAAACGTCGGGATTTAATAAAAAAAAATTAAACGCGATAGAATCCGTATAAGTAGTTTTATTCAATGTGTAGTGTTCGCGTAAATATAAGAAATCATTAAAGTATTTTTTTTTCTATTAAAGGCGTTACTACTTAATAACTCGTCGAATTGGTTTTCACCTACTATTTAAAATAGTTTCGTAGGTCTGTTGGGCCCAAAACGCTGACTATTTGCATATTCGATAGTTTTTCTCTGAGGAGCAAATATTTTTTCATCCACATTTAACTTTCCTTCCTTTTTTTAGCTTGGCCTTGCACGTTACCGCCAGCCAAAGTTTTTTTTTATAGGACAGGATGACAAACGAGCACACAGTCCACCCGATGGTAAGCGGTTGCTGTGGCCCATAGACACCTACATTTATCCTCGTATGCGAATCAAGATGCGTTGTCACCCGTGAGGACTGAGATGGAATGCCTCTTTTCCAGTAAAAAGGGTCTCCGGTTCTCTACACTCACCATACAAAACACAGCAGTATCAAGCTACTATTTTCCGCTGGTATTCTGTGAGAGCGTAGTCCTTCCCCGGTCGAGCCGACCCATTCGCGTGGTGCGTGGAGCGTGGTGTAATAAGGGCCCGATAAATCGTGTAATGTAATAAGCCTTTAAGTTAAATACATATACAGTATAATTTTGTTTATAATTGCAAATGTTTAATAATAATGTTTTGTATGTGTTTAGTTGGTAAGCCTAAATAAATAAATAAATAAATAAAATAAAAATTATCAAGTCCGTCAGCTGGCAATTGCCATTCGCCAGCTGACAGTGACAGCTGTTCTACTGGTTAGTGTTGTGTCAAGCTGTCAAGGCTGGGTAAATAACCTCTGAACATAAAATTATAATTTGCACTTTTTGATTATTCTGCCTACGTATATGTATAATAATATTTAATTTATACATTATGTACATAGTATAAATCCTACGATCTCCATCATTTTTTAAGACTTGGGTAATAGTGTGACAAACAGTTTAATTGTAAGTATGCTATGTTATCAAAGTTAAGCAAATTTAAATTACTGTTTTTATTTATTTATTAAAACTATTAAATAACAAAGTTGTAGTTGTAATAAAACTTATGAATAAATACAATTATTTTAACTTGGCAAATTGTTTGCATATTTTATTGACGGGTTATGCATGTTTCCACAACTAACCTTTTAGTAAAGATTTTGAATAGGGAGAGTGATTGTTTTTATCGTTTCTCCGTATTTATTCGGTAAAAGTATTATTAATTAATTTTTAAAGTTTTAGGTTTGGAAAATGTCAGAAGATGCAGAGCAACAAGCTGAAGAGATTGAAGTGCTAAAATCTATCTATGAGGGAGATGAGAACTTTAAGCAAGTTGACGGTACGACTTATCAATACAAGGTGATATTACATTACACTATGTCCTCAACAATTTTGGTTTGTAAGACTTCATGTACAACTCACTTAAGTTAATTAGAGACTTTACTCAGATGACGTAAGGACATTGTACTGACTGCAAAAAGTAGTGTTTGTCGAGTATAGATTCATTTATTGCATGGTTAGGTGCTGAAAAAAATTGTTTTTTTATTTTATTTTATGTAATATTTAAAAAGCTATTATTTTAAACTAAAAGAAAGTTATACTTTAGATAATTTAGTCATTAAAACTATCACTAACTACATCTGGCATTATCAGACAGGCTGTAAAATCATGAAATAGATGATCCCATAAAAAAGAATAATCTTAAAATGATATGCATGGGAAATGAAAAAGAAAAAGGGAAAAAAACCAAATGTATGAGATGTTTGTTTTTATATTTTTAATTTGTTAACAATACAAAATGTGTCAATGGCGAGAGTGGTAGAGTGGCATCATGAGGTTAGCAATAATTCTGCTTGAATTTCAAGTTAACTTTGGGAGGTTTTAAATCGTTATTTTCTAAAGAATACTTGAATTTCTATCTATTTAACCATGTGAATATCCCTATTTGAACCCAAATTCTAATGTAGTCTCTAAGAGTAATTTATTAAGCATTGGTCTTCTTGGGGATTTTGTTACTTAGAAGCGAATTGTCTGGTGAAAGTTTTAATAGAAAAAAGCACATATTAAACAACTGGTCTGTGGTATAGAAAAATAAAGTAAGATTAGATAGAATGTAGTGTCCAAAACATCATTCATTCATGCATAAGTCTACTGCTGAATGGAAAATGAACTTCCCCATAGATATCCTCATAGACGCCCATTACACGGTAGGTTTTGCTGTCAGTTTTACAATAATCACGGTTGTGATTGAAGAATAACTTATCGTGTAATGCGGTGATTGACAGTTGCATGAAATTGATTGACAAATATCTGGATATTTTGATTTTTACGTCAATCAACTATCAGTCACGAATTTTGATTGAACATGTAATGGCATTTCGTCAATCACACGTCAGTCAACGCTTAGACAGCAATGGAGGCGGACGCAGAATATACTGAAGAGGCGGTTTCCACGCGCTCGCGCAGTCCGTCGCCACTCCCGCCAAACGTGCTTCAGCCAGAAAAAGATTTTATTTTAAATTTTGAGGCTCTCCCCGAGTTCTGGGACACGAAAACCCCTGGGTATACGAATAAATAATAATAATAATAGTCATTTATTTCAAGAAACTGTACAATTAATTCAAATAATGTCTTTATTTAAAATAGTCTACAATAACAGGTACCTGAAGTAGGATAAACCTGTATCTTAGGTGTATGTTCTAATAGATACATTTACAATTATTTTCTGTTTCTTATATAAAATGAATGATACTAACTAATTAGGGTTATATAGGTAAAATACATTATCATTAATTTATTTATGATTTTAATTAACTTAAAACAATCAGCAACTTTTCTGTATCATCGTATGACAGATTTTGTAACCATGTCCGAATTACATTTTTACAATCTGCCATTTTTAATGGATACTGATAATGTACAAAATTGCACTGACTTGATTATACAGAAAAGGGCCAAGTAATGTAAAAAATCTATACATGAAAGAATGCTTTATTCTAATGTTAGTTTCAATGATTTTATCTTTGCGTCTTTTATCAGTGACCTCTCTTTTGTAGGGCAATTTTAAGTGCTGTTTTAGTGACGATTTATATAAGAGATGGTACGGGAATAGGATAATAAGGCGGAATGTTGCGACTTTTAATACAGCTCTTTGAGCGCATTCCAGTGGTAGCAGTGTAGTTTTAGCTGCTCCTCCCCATGAGGTTATACAGTAGGTGAGAATTGATTGACATAATACGAAATATACATGCTTTACTACCTTAATATCAACAAAAGAACGAATCTTTTTAAAAACAATCATTAGTTTGCAGACTCAATTGCAGAAGTGGTCTATGTGGTTTTTAAATATAAGAGTAGAATCTATAATTATTCCAAGGTATTTAATAGTTTTTGTATTAAAAATAACTGGGCTGTTACAATTAGAATCTGTGACTGAGCAACATTTACGTGCATAAATTTTTGGAATGGCTATATGCTGTGTTGAGCTGCGCATAGAAAAATGAATATATTTGGTTTTGTCCATATTCAGTGTTAATGTTCTGTTGGAGTCATTTATTATTCCTATCAAAACCTTGCTGTGCATATAAATATAAATAAACCTTGTCCATTGAATATACGGAAAAAGGAGCACAGTATCATCTGCGTAAGATATTATTTTTCCCGAGTTAAGTTCAAGATTGCAAAGGTCATTTATATATATCAAAAATAGGATTGGCCCTAATATAATAATCCTTGAGGATAAAAGAGCTTATTTTTCACCCTAAACCTATTTAAATAAATAAATGCGTTTCAAATAAAGCTACGTATCGATTATGCGTTCCAAGAGGTCGAACATTGGCGAGTGTTGTAGCCAGTTTCAGTTTTTAGATATGGTGTTACCAAGACCAGTAACTTATCAAAACAAGCCTCTTTCATTTTCATGCGTATATAATTTGCATAGTCTTTATCCTCTTTTGAAACCCGTATGTCAGTCAATGAGTGAATATGGGTATAGAAATCCCTTTTTAAAAGTCAGTCTTTTACCCAGAGACTTCTTCTTATACGTTTTTTTTTTCACAAAATTGCAATTATAATTGTAGCACAGGTCTTTTTCTTATGAAGATCCATCCTTTCCCTCTGAAAATTTGGGTTTGACTGACATCAGTCAGCATGAGCGTGTAATGCCGAAATTATTCCATCATTCAAACATCAATCATGATTGATCAAACTGATTGACGCTTGCCTAGGCGTGTAATGGGCGTCATAGAGCCTTGCTACATAACCTTGTTTAATTTTTCTCTTTTGCCTCTTATGACATCTATGGGATGATATATATATATATATATATATATATATATATATATATATATATATATATATCATCCCATATATATATATATTTCAAGTCTGTAATCAATACTTTATCAAGGACATTGAAGCTTTGGAAAAAGTACAGCGTAGCTTCACTAAAGTACCACGGCTATTGAAACTGCAGTCTTATAAAGAACGTATGAAAGTTATAAAACTTACAACATTAAAAATCCGCAGGGACCGAGGAGATCTTATCGAGACCTTTAAGATCTTAAATGGGCATTACGACATTGAAGAGTTTGACAGGTTGTTTATTCGTAATGAAAACACCCACCTCAGGGGCCACCATCTTAATCTATGTACCAGCTTTTAGCAATTAACAAACAGCAACCCCCACAAGCACTTCATTTGTAACCGTGTAGTCACCGAGTGGAATAAGCTTCCAGAGAACGTAGTCTCAGCTCAAAACGTCAACCAATTCAAAAATAGATTAGATAATCACTTTCTGAACTGCAAAAAGAGTAACTAGTGGACAAAACCAGGATACAGGCATTATCAGTTGTCTCAACTGCCTGCCTGTTAATATAATAATAAATATACTGTAGTGGAATTTCTTATGCCGCTGCTAAATGGCTATGTCAAAAACATGGCCGCAATGTATATTCTAGAATAGTATAGAATAAAATATTTTTTTTTAAATTACATATAGAGGTTATAAGTAATTCTTATTGGAAGTCATTTCATTTATTACAACATTATTGTAACTTCGGATCTGTAGTGTATTTATCGGGAACTGTAACTGCTGGACTATAATAAAGTTACAGCAGCTTATACGTTACACTGCTGGACACAGGCCTCCTCTCTTTCTGATCGTTTTTAGCAACAAGCAGTTTTATGTTGATGGAGTTTGCTTGAATAAATTCTTCTTTTTCTTCAGCCTGCAAAATCCCAGTGCTGAACAAGAGTCTCCCTAGTTGGCACGCTTGGCAGACGTATTGACAATTGTAGCACTTACACTGTATTGCTACTGCCCAAAGCCAATTTGGGTATTTTGTTTGTCGTGATGAGATAATGTGTGACTCCAAAAATACGATGGATTTTGTAAATGTATTAGTTAAAACATTATAAAACTTATTTATGTTACTGAAACTTGCACTATTTTTATTTTGCCTTTTATGTTTATAGTACACGGAGGGAGAAAAGTCATTTATATTAGAAATAAAATGGGGGCCTACTTATCCCACAGAAAAACCCAAATGCAACTTAGAAATCTTCTATAATCAACATTTGTAAGTATTTTTAGTTACACAGCACATTCTTTCTGTTTTATTCTAATGGAGAGGGGGGGGGGGGGGGGGGGGAGAAAGGTAGTAATTACTACCATTTATTATATTTTTAAATACTACTTTAATTATATTAGTTCCATAATAATAAAATGTACTTAATAGAATTTCTCTTTACAATATGGACCCACTATGGATTATTTTGTCATCTCATGGCTCATTTTTATATTTTCATTTTACATTTCTCATATCAGTTAAGTAGTTAACACGGTTATACTATCGAAAAAAAAAAATTGATTTGAATTCCTTGCTCCGTAAAAATAAAAATCACTCTAGACCTTATTGTCACTTACAAGTTTTTTCTACGAAATTTTACCAGCGCTTGAATATAATCTATAAATATATATATAGATATTTTTGCCTTAATACATCATGACCATCTTTATGTTCCAGATTGCCATCAGTAAAAGAAAAAATTTTGGAGATAGTAGAAGCCGAAGCAGAACAGTGGGTTGGATGTGCAATGACATATACATTATTTGAATGTTTAAAAGAGAAAGTTGCCGAGATATTGGCGGGACAAACTGAGGAAGCAGTGGCGGCGCGGGTTGAGAAGATAGTTATTGAAGATCAAGTATGTAATCTATGTTCCTAATACCATTATTTTACTTATTAAAATCTAGTGCTTAACTGCAATCCTATCTAAAAGTAAGTGCATCACCATTTACCTCTATATATAGTAAATCGCACTGTCTTACATCTGAGAGTCGGAGAACTCACTACCCCATGTCATCCCGTGGGGATTATAAGAGGCGACAGAGACCTGATCCTGATAGTAACTCAAAAACATAATAAACTGGTGCCAACCTCAAGCGTGGCAACCAGTGGCAACTATGGTAAATATCGCCTATATGAGAAAATCTATGAGGGACGCCAGTGTTCAACAGTGGACTTTTGATTTACTGTAATGTAACATAAACATTATGTAAATATCGGAATGTCTTATATACATAATATTGAGGACTTTGAATGGGTCAGATGTATCGCATCTCAACAGTTTCCTTGTCCGTAATATAGACAATAGAAATGTTCATATATGACTCACGGGACAGGGAAAGGATTAAACACCACTTCCAGATAATGAAGGGTGCCGTTACTCACGTTTTGCTTTTGTTGGCTAATCTCATAGCTCGGTCTGTTTGTTTCAAATGGAAACAACTACTTGGTAGAACTTTCTACATGGTAGAGCCATGCTGCAACTATATTATGGTTGTAGCACGAATGGGTCGGCTCTACCGGGGAAGGACCACGCTCTCACAGAAAACCAGCGTAAAATAGCAGCTTAACGCTGCTGTGTTTCGTATGGTGAGTGTAGAGAACCAGCGACCCTTTTTACTGGCAAAGAGGCATTCCATCTTAGTCCTCACGGGTGACAATGCATCTGCATCTTGAGTCTTTATTGAGGATACATGTAGATGTCTATGGGTCACAGTAACCACTTACCATCAGGTGGACTGTGTGCTCGTTTGTCACCCGATCCTATAAAAAAAAAAACAATTAAAAGTATCACCATACTTAATTATCATAAAATTTACTAATTTCAATTTGTTAATTTTCTTCAGAGTTATAAACCCCTTAAAAATGTCAGTAATTTTGTTAATTGCAGACTGAAACGTCAAAGAAGCCAGAGAAGAAGGAACAACTCACGAAGTCACAGAAACGTCGAGCGTGGGATCGAGCCGAGATCGGCAAAGCAGGAGAGAGGCCAAGAGGGTGGGATTGGGTGGACATTGTCAAACATTTGTCTCAAGCACCACATCAGCCAACATCATGACACTGACAGTGCCAGGAGTATGTAATTATAATGTATTTAGGCTCAAACTAGAAAAATGCCCGTTGCAATATATTTGTAGTCCTGTCTTAAAATGTTAACTTCAGCTATTGCTTTTCAATTAAAAAACCGACATTCATACCTAATTAAGCAGAGTTTTTAAGTTTTTATACTGTCAATATTTTCAAAATACTATCGGTGACATGCACAAGAAATATTAAAGTGTACTTTAACTCCCCCCTCCCCCCCTTCCCCATGTACACTTAAACTAGTTATTTTCACATATGGATATAGTTTGAATATTATCCTATATTTAAAGATTATAGTATCTGTCTCGCTATCTCTATACCTGTCTCTTTCTATGTTTAATTAATTTTACGAGTAAGGCTCTATATCTCTGTATATATGGACAATCTTTTGTCTTTGGAAAACTTTATATTCAGTTCTAACATCATAAAAGGACAAGTATCATTAAAAGTGAAATTTAATAAATTATTAGACCAAAAGAAAAAATGGCCTATGGTTTACTAAATAGACTGTTGTGCAGTGTAATAAACTTAAGTACTTACTAAGTATGATTAAATTAAAATAGTATAAATGAGAGTTAAATATAAAAGTTCAACAAAGCTAGTAATACGAAGCGCTACATATCATACTCAGCTTACTGTAAGAACACATATGCTTCAAAATCATTTGCAACCAGCAATGGTTTTAGGTTCATATGTGTACGTCCTGCAGTTGATTTCTACGGGCTGTTCCAAACCGAGAGAAGGAAGACGCTACATACAATGCCCAACTTACTGTAAGAACACGCCATCATGTATACATATGCTTCTAAGTCATTTGCAACCAGCAACTTGGTTTTAGGTCCATATGTGTGCATTCAGCAATTGACTTCTACGGGCTGGTAAAAAAGAAAGAAGTAAGATGTGTGTGTGAGTGCGTGTGAGAGAGAGTGAGTGAGTCATTAAGGTGAGCAAGATTTTGGCTGTATATTGTATCTGCCTTTCTTTATTGGCCTAATCAACTCAAAAAACAGTTTTTATTTATAGATTAGTTTGTACCTGTAAATAACAAGCTTAATTATGTATACTTGATTTACTATAATGCATTCAAAATTAATGTTTCTTTCATAGTCATCCATAACAATTTTCTTTGTTAAAACAGTAATAAAAAAACCCGATTGCGTTGTCACGTTCTCTGAAAATAAAACCTTCCCCATCCCTCTTTTGGTAAATGCAGAAAATAAAAATTATGTAGTTTAGGTCACTCCCATAGTTAAGACAAATCTAAAGACACCTCTAAAACCGCGTAACAAATACGCGCACCAGGAGCGCGCGCCACGAGCGCGTAATCGTTCCATGCATATTCTCCGAGCGCGTTATTATGATAAAACGGCTTTTGCTGTTCCACATCAGTTATTTTGAACCATGTAATTTTATCAATTTACGGCAACTCAGGTTTTCCATAGCTCAGAACGCAACGAACACACGAATGATGAAAACAACCGTCCCAACTGACGCGCGCGCCAAAACTTAACTACTTTGATTTGCAACCTACACCAGATGGAACGGCCGCTCCGCGTTTGAACGTTCCAACGAAGAATTTGGCGCGCGTACCAAGGCGGTATCAATTTCGCGCGGCTGGAACGCGCGCCAATGTTCGACCTCTTGGAGTGCATAATCGATACGCGGCTATGTTAAAATGCCATCAAGACGTTTAGGCTACAGAGCGTGCCAAAGAAATTTATGTATGTAGACACATACAAACATACTCTCGAAAAACATTACTCTCCTTTTGGATTAGTCGGGTATTAAATTGCATAAAATTCTAACCAACACCACCATAATTTTAATCATCATTTTCCGTGGTAGAGCCACGCTATAACGAATAATGTCTACAGCACAAATAGGTCGTATACAGGACGAAGGATCACGCTCGCAATGACTATCAGCGTGAAATGCGAGAGCAGCATAATGTTGCTATGATGAGTGGCGAGACCTGAATCGAGGATAGACAGAAGCGTATTAAATGTCGACAGCGCCTTAGGCTAACACCTCATCGGAGCTCCTCTAGAGGACCGTAGATTACAAATTATAATTTCTCATTTTGCAAATATATTATATTATTATATTTTATATAGTTCAGTAGTTGCAAAATAAATAAAACAGGAGTACTGTTAACTGGTGGGCGTAAATTAAAATTGTGATGAGATTGATGGTGATGTAGGAGTTATCAAATAGACGATTTTTTTAACCTTGCGCCCCTAGGCAAGTGACTAGTTTGCCTTAAGGATAATCCACCACTGAGGATAGATGTCTATGGGCCACATCGCCCGCTCACAGGTGGACTGTGTGCTCGTTTGTCATCCTAGTTCCGTCATTTTCTTTAGCCCATCACAAGTCTACTGATCAGCATGGCCTCCTGAGCCACCTGCATCCATCGACTTCTTGCATCTCTTACTAGGTCGTCACTTTATCTAGTGAGATGCAGCCCAATACTTCGCCCTTACTTCCGTAAACAAAATTTAAGTCCTGTTGGTTTTAGTTTTTGACATATTTCTAGATTAAAATCTAGCTAGATATTCATTGTTAAAATTATTTACTTCGGGAAGCTATTGTAACTTTAGTGTATATGTCAATACACCCAGAGGTGCTAATAATACACCCGGCCCGTTCCCATTTGTTGGATGTTGGTTTCGATTTTGACTACAGACAAACAAAGAACGATAGACAGAGGTAGATTTCAGGTAACGCCGAAACCATGCTCAGCTTATTGTAAGAACATGCACCCACGTACACATACTCATCAAGTCAAGGCAAAGATTCGAGCGACTGACGTCACCGGAGTACTGTTCACAACGTAAACGCTTAACCTTGCACAGAGCATAATCTTAATAAACTAATAAGTATTATTTGTATATTTTTCCTAACCCTGCCGGGGTAATTAAAAAAAATTCAAATGTATAAGCATGGCTTCACCTCGAAAAATATTGTCTTATAAATATATTCTATTCTAAACATAAGGATTGTTGCACACTGTATATTATTATACGAATTGCAATTGTGTTTCTATTGTCAGAAATGAGAATATTAATTATGGTATGATTAGTTTCCATGTGTTCATTACAGATCTCATTTTATTTACATCGTAAAATGTTATTTACAAATATCCTGGTTAGTAATTTCAGGTAAACCTCAGCTGGTTAATGCGGAACATTTGTATTGTTTAAATTATTTCCGTATGTGCATGTGAACGTGTATTAATAATATATAATAGAGGTGATCTAAAAGGACTGAAATGCAACAAAGTTTTTACAATAAATCTCTTCTCTAGCGTAATAATTCACTTGCAGAAAAGCGATCGTCAATCGTCATTTTGACCCTCCTAAAGAAAAAAAGATTTAGGGCTTATATATGAGCCGTTTACCAATCACACATTATCTAAAATCAGAAATTTAATGTAGTATGAAGATCTTTTCTTTTATTATTACTAGCTTTTGCCCACGGCTTCGCCCGCGTAAAGGTCGGAAAACGTCATCATTGCTAAAGATCACAGTCGTTTAGACTATGTTATTCAAAGATCTGAGACAAAATTAAACTGAAAAGGTTACTACAGAATTACGCTCCAGATTTATACTACATGCGTAGTTCATTTTCCGGGTTAAAGAATAGCCTATGTCACTCTCCTGACCATGAAATGTCCATATGCAAAAAATCATATCGATCCGTTGCCCCGTTGCTGTGTGAAAGGACAAACCAACACACGTTCGCATTTATAATATTAATAGGTAGTTTTTTTTAACAATTCAACTAAAATGGACACAGTACAAAAGAACTTTATTATTTTTACTAGACTGTCTGTATCTACATTTGACATATTGTTAGAGAACTTCACCCGCCTGCGTTGCTATTGCCCTATTTTGAATTTTGAAAAGATGGTTACTTATTGAAATTAGAAATTTTAAGAATAACTTTTTTTTTTATTTAACATCTGTTTATTTTCAATTACCGAATGTGGTATATATCGCTATACTCTTCAAATTTCTTCAAAGTTGTATGCTGCCTCCTTTTCCCGGCGAGAGGTAGAAGTGACTGAGAAGTTTTTGGGTAATTCCAAACCCACTTCTTATAATAACCTCACGGTGTAATAGCACTGCGGCTTCATTTTTTTTCACCTACTCTTTTTTTGGGGTGGTCGGGTAGAGACATTCATTGTGGCTCCTATTTGCGAGCAATCCATTTTGACTAATTTCTTCGGTGGCGTCTGTGGGGACATCGTTTCTACGTTATAGTCTGTTGTTGGATCTCACATAAAAGCGATGGATCCGTAGCTCGTCCGTGGGCACAAAATAAGACTTTAATCTGTTCAGCTCGGCCTAGTAGTTTCGACTTTTAAATTTTTTTTCGGTTACCATTTACAGTCAGCTTACAGCTATAACATTTTGTGTAGAATTCCCACTTAATTTTTTTCCATTTTTGGACTGTGAGAATTTATGACGTCTTTTAGATTCTATGTATATGTCGTAAAAAGTAATTGATAATAAATTACCCTTTTGGATTATCCCTAGTCATTTATAAATAATAGAAGCCTACACATAGTTTATCTGCGGAAAAATTATGTAAAATGAAAGATTTTCTTTTTCAAAGTTTTTAATCTCTAAATAATATAATATTGTTCTGTAAACAAAATAATGTTGTTTTTGTAACAATTGTAAAAATAAAAATATTGTTACTTGTGCTTATGTAAAATAAAGAATTACGAAATAATGCCATGCATATTACTATACAAGTATATTTACTAAAATATAATGATTTGTTTAACTGAAGAAACATCGGAGTTTTTTTTTATTTTTACTATTTATTTAAACTCCGTATGTTGACTCGTATAGTGGGAGGGGGGGGGGGGAATTAGCCATAGTTGCCACGCTTGGCAGGCGGGTTGGCAACCACAGTTTTCTTTGAATAATTTTGATTTGTTATTAGAAATATGTTACCCATATCCTATTTCAGTTTCTCTGTCGCCTCTTACGATACCCCGGAATGATATAGGGTGTTGGATATTATTTCACAGTCACTACACGGTTTGTGATTAGACGGAATTGGTCCACGAGTGAAGAAAATTAATTTAATTAAAACTGGCCAAGTGCGTGTTGGGCCACGCACTATGTAGAGGTAGGGTTCCGTAGTTGCCCGTCACAAAACGCGGGCTTCCTTGATATTGAGCAGAATTCGCGATTTGACCGCTATAACAACTAAAAATGGGCGCAAATAAGAACATTGTAACTGAAGGACTTCTTTTCAAATATATGCCTTATAGGGAGGTATCGAAAAAAGATAAAAAAAACGATTTTGATAATAAAGTAGAGCTAATAGTAGTAATGCATATACTTAAGTCGTTTTCTTCATAAAATGTTTATTTTTAACAGTTTACAATAACATAACAAAGTTATTAATGCAGCTAGTTTCATGTCATTTTGAATGGATTTGTAAAGAAAGTTTACAAAAATCCAAGTATATTTTACAAGTTGGTCGACTATTACTTGTTAACTGCTGCAGCATGGCTCTACGTGGTAGAGCCATGCTGCAGCTATATTAGTAGTATAGTTGTAGCACGAATCGGTCGGCTCGACCGGGGAAGGACCACGCTCTCACAGAATACCAGCATAAAATAGCAGCTATGTTTCGTATGGTGAGTGTAGAGAACCGGAGACCTTTTTTACTGGAAAAGAGGCATTCAATCTTAATCCTCACGGGTGACAACGCATCTGCATTTTGATTCGCAAACGAGGATAAATGTAGATGTCTATGAGCCACAGCAACCACTTACCATCAGGTGAACTGTGTGCTCGTTTGTCACCCTATCCTATAAAAAAAACTTCTAATTCTACTTAGCTGTGATAGTTTTCATTTTAACTTCATTATATATATGTAATGCTATTGTGTATACTTTTCACATTTCCAAAAACAGCGGTTGGGGGGGGGGGGGTCACATATGACTAATGAAAAATATCACTCTAAAGCTAAATATTTCGGGAACGGACCGCTGAATCGAAAAGATGTTGTTCCCCACCCCCAATGTTTTGAAAGACCTATCCAACGATACCCCACATGATGGAATAGACGGGTTAAAAAAATCATCCTCCATTTACCTGTATGCGAAGTTCCCAAAATAAAAATGTTTTTTAATATTTTAAATTGAAATGGCCGGACATACTCTTACTTTCAAACAGAAATTGAAATACTTGGGAATAATTCTTGACGAGAAGCTTCTATTTACCAATCATATCCGGTACGTCATCAGTAAGGCGACCCGAATTTTTAATACCCTCTGTATCTTCTCAAGACCAACTTGGGGAGCTCACCCTGAAAATGTCCGTATCATTTACCAGCAAGTGATTGTACCAATAGTCACATATGCTGCAGGTATCTGGGGATACATTGTTCACAGGAAGTACATCAGGAGGAGCTTAGAAAGAATGCAGAAAGGATTTGCAATCAGAGCCATTAGGGGTTTCCGTACTGTGTCAACGCTTGCTGCCATAGCCCTGGCAGACATGTTACCGTTAGATTTAAAAGTAAAAGAAGTACATATCATCGAACGAACGAAACTCACTGAAACATTTAGTTACACGCCCGCCGATATAATTATTGAAAAATCTACTCCCTTCCACAAACTTCTCCACCCAGCGCACAGAATCAATGTTAAGGCCAAACTGGTGTATAATCTGCCAATGTATCAACAACAAGTTGATACATTGGCAGAACCAAACACTACCCTTATCTTCACAGACGGCAGCAAACAGGATGACGGAATCGTTGGTGCTGCGTCTGCTTCAATATCAACAAAACGTTTACTACAAAGAAGTATAAATTGCATGATACCTGCAGTGTTTTTCAAGCAGAGCATTTAGCTATTATTAATGCATGCAAATGGGCAATCTCCAACCATTTTCCTTATACGTCGTCGTTCCTCGATAGGGTCGAGCCATTCGTGCTACACCAATAATATAGATGTAACATGGCGCTTCTACGTAAAGAAATTCCATACGAACACTATACTTTTAGACTTATGGATCTGAGACGTGGTCCTTCACTGCTGACCGTTTGAGGACGCTCAAGGTCGCTCAGCAAGATATGGGGAGGGCTATGCTCGGGGTTTCTCTGCGTGATAAACTTAGAAATGAGGATATCCGCAGTAGAACTAGAGTGAACGATATAGTTCAACGGATTGGTAAGCTAAAGTGGCAATGGGCCAGCCATATAGGTCGAAGAACCGACAACCGGTGGAGAAAAAAGGTTCTCGAGTGGCAGCGTCATACCGGTAGGCGAAGCGTAGGTCGTCCCCCCACTAGATGAAGTGACAACCTGGTAAGACGTGCAGGAGGTCGATGGAGCAGGTGGCTCAGGATCGTCCTTTGTGGCATTACTTGGGGGAGGCCTATGTTCAGCAGTGGACTTGTGAAGGGCTGTAATGATGATAGTGATGATGACTATACTTTAAGTGAGCAATTCTTAAATAATGTAATTGTTTTCTCGGAAATGGCTTTAACGATCTGGTTGAATATAGTATTGAAATTCCTTGACTATTACTCCCTAGATTATTATATATCTCTAACGAGAATGAGGTGTCATCTCTAAGAAAATTTTAATTGTTTTCTAATGTCGAGTAAAGCTCGGCCTTTAGAGTAATGAGGGCTAATAATTATCTGCTCACCAGATGTCGTTAGTTGACACTGAGGTAAAGTTTTTTGATACACAATGTAATTTAATTGAGAAGTTGTTTTTTAATAAAAGTTTATCAGTTTCTAGAGCATTATTTATACACAAAACAACGCGTCAGCGGTTTGCTCTTTATTTTATTTTTTTGCTCGTTTTAGCTTTTTTTTAATTTTCCTAGTTTTATGACTATCTGTGGTTTGGTTTATTTCTTTTTAGTGTTATTAATATAAAATATAGCTAATAGTACAGAAAGAAACAACAACTTTTACATTTTTAGAACAAATTAACTTCCCCGATATGAAATCTGTCAAATACTATGCCTCACTCATGGAAATATATGTACTTCGTCTATACTTCCGTGGCCTCACTTTCTAGTGGCGCCGCCCTGGTGACAGAAAAAGTAGTGGATGCCCTCATTAACATACACTTGTACTTACTCCGAGGCTTGTTCGCATAGGTATCCTTTTTAGACAAAAAAGTTTATACACTACCTTAAAGCGTGTGTTTTCAAACATATGTATATTTATTAATCTGTGGCGTGTGTTTAAAGCTGTCAATAAGGATTTCTGTCAACAATGGATTTTTGAACGCATTTACAAATAAATTAAATTATTGTTTGTAGCAAATATGATCTATTCCAAGCAAGAATATTATACACCTGCTGAGGTCGCAATCCATAACAGTCCTAATGACTGTTGGGTGTCCCTCAATGGAAAGGTGCTGGATTTGACTTCTTGGTTGGAAAAGCAGCTAAAGCTTTGCAAATGCACCAAAAGCTGCTCGTGCACTGTCAAGGACTGGTACTGCGGTGTCGATTGCGTTGAGTACTGCGCTTGTTTTAAAAGAGGGTACATGTATTGCGATGCGAAGAGAGTAAGTTACTCTTAAATAATACACTATATGAGTTACTCATTATACATATAATACATAGAAATTACTACATATAGGTACTATAACTTTTTTTAACAGAAGTACCACAAATAAGCACAAAGTCCTACTGATGGTAAGTGAGTGCTGTGGTTCAAAGACATCTACATCTATTATCGATATAATTAAAAATTAAAAATTTTGTACAGCCGACTTCAATATAAGTTATTAAGACTCCAAAACCATTGGTATGACCTAGATCAAATTCATATAGGACCACACAAAAAGTATCAGCTTTCAAATAAAAAAAGAATCATCGAAATCGGTTCACCCAGTAAAAAGTTATGAGGTAACACACATAAAAAAACATACAGTCGAATTGAGTACCGTCTCCTTTTTGTAAGTCGGCAGAAAAATCAGAATGTAGATACATTGTCACGCCACGAGACTAAGACGAAATGTTATTAACAGAAAAAAGGTTCTCTAAAATTATTATAGGTTGTTGTGATGTTATTTCAATCCGCTAGAGCGCAGTCCTTCCCCGGTCGAGCCGATCCATTCGTGCTGCAACCATAATATGGTTTTATATATATATAAAAGACTTATTTAAACAAATTTTTAATCTGTGGTAAATGATATTCGTTGTGATGACACTGTTTACTTACCCAAATAAAATAAAAAGAGATCGGCAATCCGCTTGTTTAGTGTGGCAAATATATAAAATGTTCAATATTCGGAATAAGTCTATAATAATAATGTCCTCCAGACCGAATTTCGGTCACGGCGGCCAGTCTCAGCGGAGACTAGACAGGATTATAGTGCCCAAGTGCATGCGCAAGCACAGGAGCACTCTCTATTCCCTCACTCTCATAGTCCGATGGGACGGTAAACCGACACGACCGGAGAGAGATCAGGCGCAGGACCAACGGCTTTACGTGCTTTCCGAGGCACGGGGGTGAGACACCGCGAGTTTTGACTCCGGGCAGCTACTGACAATTTCTTGATGGAAAAACTCAATAACTGATTTTTTTGGCCCGACCCGGCATTCGAACCCGGGACCTCATGATCGGCAGTCGCACTACTCCAACCACTAGACCAACAAAGCAGTCCAGTAAGTCTATATCCTATAGTAGAATGCTATGAATGTATGTTCTGAAGTGTGTACGGAAGTATAGCGTACGTATGATGAACAAGTTGTAACACCTTATTTCACCCCGAGAAAGGTGTATATATATGCAAATTTCCAAGTCAATCGGGCGTTTATTTTAAGATTTAGATCTCGTGATGAGTGAGTGAGTCAGTGGTATTAATCTTACAAATCAATAAGGTGATAAAGGTTTCAAAAAAGAAATCCAAAGACTTCTACAATAACCAAGAGATTTAATTGCTCTAAACAAATTGCACAGTTAAAAAATAAGTCATTCTTGATGGTGGTGTAAGTTGTGAAGGTGTCAAGTGGTATAAAGTTTTGTATCATTTGCTTGCTTCGCAGCTAGCGATGACAATTATAGCTTATGCCGGCAAAGACGTAAGCCACTGGTTTAAAGGTAAAGAATGGGTGAAATATATTCATCCAATTGTTGGATCCTATATCCCGTATATGCGCCATGGCCACGGCTTTAGGCAGCCTGTCGTACCGTCGACACGTTGGCGGCCCATCAGCAAGCCCTGGTGGCTAGACGAAAGCTTTGTGGTTGGGAAGTTAACTTCAAAGACCAGACCGATTAGAATCACCAATACTTTAACAGGTAAGGAGTTTTTTTTTATCTCTATATTATGTATTATTTAAAATTATCACGTATACTAATTAATATACATAAATATAAATAATATATATATATACACCATATCGTTCTTCGGCGTCGTAAGAGGCGACAGAGAGAAACTGAAACTGGTGATGGGCGACAGCATCTTCCTGATAACAACTCTAAATAAAAAAAAATAACTAAGATGTGACAACCAGCGTGGGGAGACTCATGTTCAGTAGCGGACTTTTATAGGCTGTTATGGATGGATGGAAACATATACTCCATCCTCTGATCTTATTTGCATGCGATGTTAGAAAACGAACGAGATTTTGTTGACTAAACCACGAAGGTAAAGTTTCAATTCGAATATGCCCAAATCCTACAGGGTTATGTTATCGAACCGCCTATCAAGGAAGGTAATGTGCAATTAGTGTATTTACATTTGGGTGCCATTTAGTAAATTAATGAACGACAGCAGTAGTGGATTAAGAAAGCCACATTATCATCATGAAACCATAAACAATTCTCTATATTTTTATATAGAATAAGTGTGACAAACAAGCACACAGTCCACCTGATGTTAAGTGGATGCTGGGTCCTCGGATCGGCATCAAAATGCAAATGCGTTGTCGCCCCTGACGACTAAGATGCAATAGTAAAAAGGGGTTACGGTTTTTACATTCACCATCGAAACACAACAATATTAAGCTGCTATTTTACGCTGGTATTCCTTGAGATACTTTTTCATCAGTGGAAAAATGAAAAAAATTATACGTGGTAGAGCCATGCTGCAGCTATATTAGTAGTATAGTTGTAGCACGAATGGGTCGGCTCGACCGGGGAAGGACCACGCTCTCACAGAATACCAGCGTAAAATAGCAGCTTAACACTGCTGTTTTTCGTATGGCGACTGTAGAGAACCGGAGACCCTTTTTACTGGAAAAGAGGCATTCCATCTTAGTCCTCACGGGTGACAACGCATCTGCATTTTGATTCGCAAATGAGGATAGTTGTAGATGTCTATCGGCCGCAGCAACCACTTATCATCAGGTGGACTGTGTGCTCGTTTGTCACCCTATCTTATAAAAAAAGTATATTTGAGAATAATGACAGAGTACCTGGATACTATATAATGTCATTTTTGATTTTTTTCAAGAGAAAATCCTCAAAATTTTCGGATTAAATATAGCTTTGACCACTTCTGGCATTGCTCACTATCTGCTCGTTAAGTTTCATTACAATCGGTTTAGCCATTCCGAAGATTATTAGTCCGGACAGACAGATAGACAGACAAAATTTTTAAAAATGGTTATTTATGTCTTAATGACATGCATATAACTCCTTCAGCTCAATATAATGCAGTTATTTCGATTTTTTTTATAGAAGAGGGGGCAAACGAGCATACGGCTCACCTGATGGTAAGTGACTATCGCTGCCTGTGAACAACCGCAACATCGGGGAAATTGCAGGTGCGTTGCCAGCCTTTTAGAAAGAAGTAAGCTGTTTTCTTGAAGGTCCGTAAGTCACATCGGTCCGGAAAAATCGCAAAAACAATTCCAATCGCAAAAATCCAATTGCGTAAACAATTCCACAGAGAAGTTGTACGAGGAAGAAAACGCACATTGTGGACCGTTAATTTAAAAATATGTATATAGATTAATAGTTTGTTTTTCCTCTTAAACAAATGTACTGGTAATTTACCAGGTTCATCTGTGACATTGGAAGTGTGTTCTGAGGAGACAATATATCAAATTATGATGCGCTACCTACCCCACAATTCGCACATGCTCTCCTATACGTGGCGCCATCAAGGAAAGGGTCTCGATTACAATCGTACGCTCGAGGAGAACGGAATAGTTGACGAAAGGGATTGCTTCAATAACCTCGCGCTTCCTGAGAACATTTATGTCCCTGAACTCCTGCTGTATTATAACGACGATTTAACTGAAGGTATTTTGCAATAATTTTGCGTGGTATTTTGTCTTTTATTTAGTCATTGGGATCCACAACCACAGTTTACACTCTACTACATATTGTTAAGCCGATCGAGTGTAGGTAATCTTTTTTTCTCCCATGTAATATCCAGGAACAACATGCACACACTCCACCTGAATGGTAAGTGGATGCCGATACTTACATCTGTCCTCCATTAAGAGTCAAAATACGCTGTTACCTTTAAGGACTAAGACGGAATGCCTTGTTTCCAGTGAAAAGGGTTTCCAGTTCCCTACACTCACCATACGAATTACAGCAGCATTAAGTTGCTATTTTACGCTGGTATTCTGTTAGGGCGTGGTCATACCCCGGTCTAGCCGGCCCATTCGTGCTACAACCATAATATAGCTGCTGCTGCAGCTTGGTTCTAGCTTCTACCGCGTATAACTATCATAAATTGAAGTAAAAAATTGTGTAAATTATCATCACGCTTTTTGTTTGGTTTTGTATAAAATTTCGTAGTACCAGACGTTGCGTCTCATCAGCAGTCTAGTGAGGAATACGTATGAGTGGTAACTACTCAGACGGACTTCTAAGCAGAGAAGAAGCTCTATCAATGATCAATATAAATATATAATACAAATTCACACGCGCGTTACCCAGATGGATATGCACAAACTATGTATATCAATACGTTTTAGTGCTTAGAGTATTTGCAAGCAAGCTATAGAGTGCGAGTTTGCAAGACAGAACTGTAAGCACGGGTCTCTCACGGAATAGTACGGAGCTGTTCTATATATAGAGTCCTTCAAAAAATTTAATGGTGTGATAGCTTTGCCACATTATAATATTATCGATGAAGATGGAGTTGCCTTATGGTCACGGTAAGTCAAAAAGAAGGCGTGAGTGTCGTGAAGCAGAGGCAAGCAGTACAGGCTTAGAACCGTGCCGATTACTGTAGCATGTCGTCGTCAAAGAGTTGTCTTCCCACGAGGAAGCGCCGCTAAAAGGCCACCGGGGTGGGGTCGCAGATGTGTACGAAGGCGTTTCAGTGGCTCTACCTATATGCGGCGAAGATAGAAAACCATAGGGTTTTAGTCGGAATCTGACATAACCCGTCTTTGACCCCGCGACGCGGGCATGCATAGGCATTTTCCCATGAAAGCAAGTATCTACCTGCTACAGCATGCACTAACCATTAGGTGTTGTATGCTCGTTTATTATTTTTATTTATATTTTATTTTATTAATATATAAATACTAGTAGGTACGTCAATTGAATCGATATTATTATCTTAGATCTTTGGGGTGTCGATACATCTGCAATTTGATTCTTAATTGAGAATAGATTTAGGCATCTATGGGCCACAGCATCTACTTACCATAACGTATAGTGTACTCTTGTGTAATCTATACTTCTATAAAATATATAAATACTCGTATGCCAGAATCGATTGAGGATTTTTTGATATTTGAGTCTTTTGTCATATGTTTATTATACAACAAATAAGTACGATTGATTATTATAACTAATCGATTTACTTTTCAGATCCCCCTAAAGAAGAATGCGTTTGTCGCAACAAAGAGTGCAGGATAAACCCCGAACAATGTCGAAATATTTGAACGGCCTATGGATGCTTAATACTTCTGGAAGATTCAGTAAAAATGTATATTGTAGTAATTTTATTGAAGTTTATAAACCTCATAAAACTAAAATAAATGGATAAAGTTAATCAATTGTTGTCAATATTCATAAAAAAAGAAATCAACGTGGTAGAGCCACGTTACGGTAGTATTACTACTCCGACACTAATCCGTCGGCTCGACCAGTGAAGGACATACTGCTGTCTTAAATGGTGAGAGACGAGACCAAACAAGAAGGTTGCAAGACCACATTTGACGCGATACTCACTTTGGGTATTTTAAGCTTTGTGTAAAGAGATGTTTGCAATACCATCTATCGGAATTTATGAAATCTGTCTGGAATCCCATTGTTGCCACCATAGACTTAGAAAGTATATTCTAAGTCTATGGTTGCCACTAACGACACCCACAGGACGAAAAAAAATGCGCGATGGATTCTCGTACATCGCCACGGTAGACTACGTACCTTTCTAAAAATAGCAAATGAAAAAAAAAAACATGAAAGCAATAGACCAAGTAAATTTCATTCTAAGTATATACGCCGACTAATAACTGGCTTAGTAAAATGCATTGATAATGCCTAACAGACACAATTAAGAAAAAACACGAACAATACGCCGGTTTATCCGCGGCTGATCGATCGCGTGGCTGCTGCACTTACCCGCGGATAAAAACTGGTGTTCTAATACAAAGAACCATCGCCGATACGCTCTATAGCCCTCGTTAGGACTAATGCAGAAAATAAATGCATTAGGGACATATATTACATGGCATTGAGTATTATTCTGTATTTTTAGAGACTTTTCCTGATTTAGTTACACTTTTAGTACGTAATAATTGAACCTATGAAGGAGGTATAAGCCTGCAGTTCATAATAATATTATGGTACCCAATTCATCATCATCATTACAGCCCTTCACAAGTCCACTGCTGAACATAAGCCTCCCCCAAAGAATGCCACAAAGCACGGTCCTGAGCCACCTGCATCCATCGACTTCCTGCATGTCTTACCAGGTCGTCACTCCATCTCGTGGGGGGACGCCCTACACTTCGCCTACCGGTACGAGGCTGCCACTCGAGAACCTTTCTTCCCCATCGGTTGTCGGTTCTTCGAGCTATATGGCCGGCCCACTGCCACTTCAGCTTACTAATTCGTTGGGCTATGTCGGTTACTCTGGTTCTACTGCGGATATCCTCATTCCTAAGTTTATCACGCAGAGAAACTCCGAGCATAGCCCTCTCCATAGCTCGCTGAGCGACCTTGAGCTTCCTCATACGGCCAGCAGTGAAGGACCACGTCTCAGTTCCATAAGTCATTACTGGCAACACGCACTGGTTGTACAATTTCGTTTTCAGGTTTTGAGGTATGTCTGACGAGAAGATGTGTCGTAGCTTCCCGAACGCTGCCCAGCCGAGTTGAATCCGTCGATTGACCTCTCGGTCGAAGTTGGACTTACCTAGTCGGACTATTTGTCCCAGGTAAACATACTCGTCAACAACTTCGAGCTTAGTGTTCCCAACAACTACCGGCATAGGTGTGACATGGACATTAAACATGATCTTTGTTTTGTCCATGTTCATCTTAAGACCTATCCGTTGGGAAACACTATCGAGGTCATTGAGCATAGTGCTTAGGTCCTCCAGCGATTCTGCCATAAGGACTATATCGTCGGCAAATCGAAGGTGAGTGATGTACTCGCCATTGATGTTGATACCGTATCCTTTCCAGTCCAGAAGCTTGAAAACGTCTTCCAATGCAGCGGTGAAGAGTTTCGGGGATATGACGTCACCCTGTCTTACACCTCTCTGCAATTGGATAGGTTTCGTACTCTGGTTCTGTACTCGGATAGCCATCGTAGCCCTACTGTACAAGCACTTCAACACTTCGATATACCGACAGTCAACTTGGCACCGCTGAAGGGACTGCAGCACCGCCCAAATTTCGACGGAATCAAAGGCTTTCTCATAGTCCACATACGCCAGACATAGTGGCAAATTGTACTCTTCGGACTTCTGTACAATTTGCCGAAGGGTATGTATGTGGTCTATGGTGCTAAAGCCCTTTCGGAAACCGGCTTGTTCGGGAGGCTGGAAGTCGTCAAGTCTGCGCGCGAGACGATTCGTAATGACTCTCGAAAACAGCACGTAGACGCGGCTCAGAAGGGAAATCGGTCTGTAGTTCTTCAAGAGAGCGTTGTCACCTTTCTTGAAGAACAAGACCACCGCACTTCTGCTCCACGCCTCCGGTGTAATGCCACCATGGAGGACGGAATTAAAGAGCTTCTGAAGGACTTCAAGTACCGGTCTTCCACCCGCTTTCAGAAGCTCCGCTGTAATTCCATCCTCGCCTGGGGCCTTACCGTTTTTAAGGTGCTGGAGAGCCATTCTAATCTCGCTCAGACTGACGTCCGGGATATCTTCGGAATAGTGTCGGATGAGACTCGCTCTTGGATCGTTACTCACACTTGCGTGTGGCTCCAACGATGACGTGTACAGCTGCCCATAGAACCTCTCAATCTCACTCAAAATCTCAGGTGTCCCGGAAACGATGCTGCCACATTCTGTCTTCAGCTTTGACAGTTGGCTCTTTCTGGCAGACAGATCTCTGGCAAAGACTTTGGAGCCTTGGTTCCGCTCGATCGCTTCTTCAATACGAGCTGTATTGAAGTTGCGTAAGTCCCGCCGCATGCATTTGGAGATCTGTCTGTTCAGATGCCTGTATGCTGTCAAGTCTGTTGAAGAATGTAGCTTCATCTCCCGTCTAACAGCCATGAGATTAAGAGTGTGATCGGAGAGTTTTTGTGTTCTTCTGCGGCGGGTCTTGCAGAACTTAGCTCCGACCGCATGGACAGTTTCCACGAGCTTGTCATTCATATCGTCCACTTCATTGCAGTCTTCTAGGCACTGAAAACGGTTTTGTAACTCGAGCTGAAAGGTCTCGGGACTTTGGAACAGAGCACGAGGGGGACGGAGCGTTGACTTCATTAGACGAGACCTCTCCAACTTAACGTTTAGGTTCAGTGTGCCTCTAACCATTCGGTGATCGCTACCAGTTTTCACCCTCGCGATCACGGAGACATCACTGAACAGTTGTCGTCTGGTCGTCATAATGAAGTCAATCTCATTTTTTGTCGAACCGTCGGGGCTCGACCAGGTCCACTTCCTGTGGGGCCGCTTCTGGAAGAAAGAGTTCATCATAAAGAGTCCCTCTTTCTCCATGAAGTCGGCCAGCTGCTGGCCCCTTGGGCTCCGTTGCCCTATTCCAAATTTCCCTACTTTCAGCTCACCGTTCTCTCTTGTGCCTAGTTTTGCATTGAAGTCTCCCATTAACACCGTATATTGGGTTTTGGAGGAATGCATGGCTCTAGAGATATCCTCATACATATCCTCCACCTCCCCATCGGGGTGTGCCGAGGTTGGTGCGTAAACCTGTATGACCTTCAGCGAATACCGTTTGGTGATTCTGAGTATAAGGTACGCAACCCTCGTCGACACACTCCCGATCTTTACAACGTTGTTAACGAGAGACTTGTGGACGATAAATCCGGCACCTCCTTGGGACAGATGGTCGCCCTCCCGGTGATAGAGCAAGTTGCCGGATTCGAGGATTACCGTGTCCTCCCCCTCTCTTCGGACTTCGGATAATCCTATAATATGCCAGCGCAACTTGTCTATCTCTTCTTCCAGCTCCACGATCTTCTCGTCAATCCTCAGGGTGCGTGCGTTGTACGTTGCCAGGTCGAGTCGTCTAAGGTGGCAACCGAACCTCCACCGGAGATTCTTAGCACCCCCTGCCCCGCCGTTACCATGGTCGCCACCGTAGCCAGGAATAGCGGGGCCGCCGGGGACTGGGGGCCGTCTCTTAGTAACTTTATTCATTTGGGGGGTATTTGCCATAGTTGCCACGCTTGGCGAGCGGGTTGGCAACCGCAGTTTTTTTTTTTTTTTTTTTTCTGGCTATTATCAGGAAGATGCTGCTGCCCATCTCCTGCCTGTTTCCCTTTGTCGCCTTTTACGACACCCACGGGAGGATATGGGGTAGTGGTATTCTTGACCGCCACTACACGGCATATGGTACCCAATTACTCCCGCATAATAAAGGTCAATGTTATGTCATCCTAATAACTTACAAATTACAAAGAATACCCGTAATAATGATATTATTCTCTCTTTCTCAAACTTGAACAGAATGGTGAGTGCAATGCCGACTTAAACGATAGATAGAGACCTACCTATGTGGGGTTCTTCGTAGATAAAAACCCTTACTCATACCATCTAGAATTCTCAACACCGTTACTAATTTACCAATGTGAATACGATGTAGGCTACCAGTGTGTTCTGAACACCTGAATCAAGTTTCGAAAAGGGTACTGTTGAGCATAGGCCACTACCAAATAATGCCACCAAGCACGGACTTCCTGTTTGTCTTACTATGTTCATCTAGTGGTGTGTTGAATTTGAATATAACGCAATAAAGAAAGTGTAGGATACTTTCTTTATTGCATTATATTCAAATTCAAAATATTTATTGTGAATTAAGTGTTGCACTAGGTGTTAATTTATTATAATTTTGTGTCTGCCAACTTAACCAATATAAATACCACCCTTTCTTTCTAATCGAGTCTTTTCGATCTAATCTATGATTCATACTTAATTAAAATTATCAAATAAATTATTTATTCTGTCCTGTAAATTTTATCCACAGTTGGTAACCCTAGTGTCGTAAGTTTGATAATTTCTAAAGTTTATTGCAGTTACTTTGTGGGGTTAGTTTTTGCTTGGCGCGTGCTAGTAGTGGTGATGGCCCTTATATGGCATTTAAGTGTCTATTATCCAAGCGGGCTTATTTATTAAGTATCACAACAATTCCATAGACAAGAGATTGTAGAGTCAGCAAAAAGTTTCGCTATTTTTTTTTAATAGAATAAGGGTGACAAACGAGCACACAGTCCGCCTGATGGCAAGTGGTTGCTGTGCCC